ATAATGAATCTTATTGTCTTCACAGTCGTTGCCTATACTTTTGAACTTGGTAGTATCAAGCAAAACAGAATAGAGGAAAATCAGTCAAAACAAGATGGTGAGAGCAATACAGGGTTTCAAATCAAGTTAATAGGAAATCAAAGTGGGTTATTATAATATATCCTGCTATTTTTTATTTATTTTTCCTTTAATTAAAAAGATAAAAAAGTAAATAATGAAAAAGGAAATTGAGATAAAAGAGGGCATAACAACAAAACAGCACAGGTCAAAACATAACCATTTAAGCAAAATAGTGTTTCACCACAAGATATCACGACATGAAAGTAGTTACCATAGTGTCTCTTTCCTTGAAATCTTTGAGTATAACTTCGTATGCTGTAGCACCAAACATCAACACAATGTAAAACCATTCAAGAGAATGACAGTATTACAGGGTATTTAGAATCAACTAACAGAGAATGAACAATGGTTTCTGTATAATCTCCTTGTCTATAAAAGTTTTTGTTCTTATCACATATAATAAAATCCATTAAGATACAACATGTTAAGACCGATAGAGACAGAAGAGCAAAAGCTTGATGGGACATCAAAACAAGATGATATTAAATCAGCACTAGCTATTACGATGTCTTGTTTTCTCTAGGATAGGAAATTTTGCTTGAGTACACTCCTTGCTTATTACACACCAGTTAGCATGTAGAAACTACTAATTTTTTAAAGGGAATAAAATAATAAAATAAAACCAATCAAAAGAAAACAATGAAAGTGATACATGACTTCAAAACAAGATAATAGGAAATCAGCGATAGCTACCATAACATATCTTGCTATCTTCAAAATAACTGCCAATCAGACATAACAAAATCAAACGAAAGCAAATATACTAAAAAAAAAAAATGAAAATAATACAGGAATTCGAAACAAGATATTAGGAAGTTAATCATGGTTTCCAACTTCCCTTTTTAGACATTTCCTCCTCTTTCACAATATTCTTTGTACATTTTGGATCCCATTAAAATCCTTCAGTTTTTTATATGAGGGAGACAATATGATGTTCATTCATGTTCATTCAAACCATTTCACCCATGAGCATGATCTCATGTTGCATCCAGTTAACTACAAAAGCCACAAGATCATCCTTTATAACTGAGTAGCTTTTCATTGTATAAAAATATTATATCTTTATTCTCTATTCTGCAGTTGATGGGTAAGTTATGCCCACCTTTTTCTGCATCCCCATCATATGGAGCACTATCCTTTCTCCTCCAATCTTTAGTCTATAAATTTTTTTGGAGTCAAATGTGTTTCTGGTATACAGCATATTGATTAATCCTGTTACCCAATCCACTATGGTCATGTTTTTTATTGGTGAATTGAGGTCATCTACAGTAATGGTTACAACTGACATGCTCTGGTTCATCTCTGCCATGCTATCTTCTTGCCATTGGCCCCCACTTTTCCTCTCCATTCATTTGCATGCTCTGTTCAATGATGTCCCTCTGCTGCTGTTCCTGGAACCATGGTCATCCTTATCTCTCTCTAGAATATCCTTCAGCATGTATTTATATGGTTGGTTTGGAGGTCATGAAGGATAATCAAAACTTTTGGTTTATGAATTTTCTTTCTATTTAAGTGTGCTTCTTGTATATGGCATATTGATGGATCTTGTTACTTGATCCACTCTGCTTGTGTTTATTTTTATTAGTGAGTTGAGGCATCTATATTAATGATTACAACTGGTACATTGGTTCATTTCTGCCATGCTATCTTCCTGCTATTGGCCCCTTTTTCCATTCTTTCAATTGCCAGCCCTATTTGTTGATTCCTCTGCTGCTATTCCTGGATCTGTGGTCATCTTTCTCTCTAGAATATCCTTCAGCACTCTTTGTACAGTTAGTGTGATGGTCATGAATTCTGTCAGTTGTTCTGTATCATGGAAGTATCTTATTTCTCTATTAACTTTGAAAAATAGTTTTGCAGGGTTCGTTGATCTGGATTGGAAGTTGTTTTCTTTCAGGATTTGAAACACTTCACTCCAAATTCTTCTTGACTTGATGGCCTTTGTGTTGACAAGTCTGTTATGATTCTAATAGGTTCTCTTTATAGGTGATCTGTTTGTTTTCTCTAACAGACAGCATTTGACATGCTATTCTTGTGCTGAATTTCTGGGATCTTGATTAGTATATGTTTGGGTGTAGATTTATTTTTGTTGTAGCTAGTTGGAGATATAGCCTAACTTATCTATCTGCATATCAGGTCCTTTTCCCATATTTGGGGAGTTTTCTGCTATGACTTCTATAAATAGTCTTTTTATGTCATTTGTGTTGACTCCTGATTTTTGCTGATACCTACCAGTCTTCAATTACTTTTGTTTGCATCATCTTGCAGCTGAATAGTTGTTTCTGGTTCATTGTTATTTTTAAGAACTCTTCTCTTTTGCAATCACTAACTGCAATCTGGTCTTCAAAGTCTGAAACTCTATCTTCAGTTTCTTTTAAGCAGTTTTGCCAGTTTTCAGTGGAGTTTTAGTTTCCTGTATCTCTTTGAATGTGTTATATAGACTGTAATTCTTTCCTATATTGTTCATTCAATGTTTCCATCATTTTTCTATGCTCTTTTTTAATCTGTGTCCACTTAAAATATGCTCAGAAATTTTCTTATTATGCTTGTAATTTCTTTTTTACCTATTATTTCTGATCTGAGAACTTTTACAGCCTCATGAAGTTGTTTTTTACTTCAGTTGCTGTCCTCTCAGAAATTTCAGGTGTGTGAATTCCAGTTTCTTCTATGTCTGTGTCTATGTCTCCTAGACTTGTTCTGTGTGGGTTGGAGGTCTGAGATTGCCTTTTGCTACTTCATTTTGACATTTTCATGGGTACCTTTATATGAGCTAGTTGTGGGGTCTCCAGCACTTCCCACATGGGCTGCCCATTCACAGTGTAGGGGGATGGGACAGGCATCTGAGTTTCTCCTTACCTAGGCTCCCAGAGAAGCAGTGAGGTGGGCTTCTCCAGACACATGTGGCTACACCAAAAAACTCCCCTCATGGCTGCAGACATGAGGGGGCATGGCTGGCTGCTTCTCCTGGCACATGCTGGTTACTGGTCCCTGATGACAATGGTAGACAGTGGGCTCATAGGAATGTACCTGGTTGGTTCTCCCATCCCATGATGGTTGCCGTCTCTGATGTGACTGCTAGATTTTCAGGGGAATGGCTGGCTACTTCTCCCACCCTGTGCTAGTTACCATCCCCAGTGGTGGCTGTTGAACTCAAGGGGATCTGATTGGCTGCTTTTCCCAGCCCACATTGGTTACTGGTCTCAGATGAAGGCCAATGGGCTTGCAGAGCATGGCTGAGAAACTTTAAAAACATGGGTTGGATGAATGTTTCCATTGGTACAGTCAGGTTAATAAGCAGATCCTGAAGATAATTTTTATCATTCTAGGTTATAGAGTTGAAATATTTCCATATTTTCATTACAATTTATTTGTAAAGATTCCAGAAATTGCAATAAAATGTATAAATCAAAATTTTAGGTCCAGGAGTTTAGCTCAGTGACACAAGTGCTTGCAAGCATGAGATTGTGAGTTCAATACCCAGTATCAAAAAAATAAAGAAGAATCAAAATTTTAGATTGTACTTATTTCTCTAAGAACTTGCAGTTGATTTTGCTCAGGTCACTGATTGTTAAAATTCATGTCATTCCATAAAAAAATCACAGTTGAAAAATGCAAATCTAATAATTAGCCATAAATTCATGATAATGGTTTTTAAATGAGTTTCTGATTTCAAAGAGTAAAGGCAGATAACCCAAGTAAGGTGGTCTTAGATTTGAACAAAATGTTCCTTTTCTGAGAATTCACTTGGGTTGGACCTTAGTGATATTCTCTGTGTTCAGAACTAAGACACTGAATATTTCTATTCTAGACTGAGGAATATTTGAATTTATCAATTTTTAAAATTCCAAACAACCTAATTCACATTAGGAACTCCTTAGAATCATTCCTCAGGCCTCCGTACAAGCAACCCAGATTCAAGTAACTGTACCTGACCATTCATTCCTTCAAAACTCATATTTGCCAAAGCCATAGAATCTTGCTGCACTAAAAAAGAGCTCTGAGATATTGGACACACCTGGTACAGAACACATGATCCCCTAGAGGACTGTGATAGGTGAGCATTTTAATTTCCCAAAAATAAACTAACATTTCTTGAATTACTCAAGGTAAACAATAACTTGCATCTATTTATTTCAAACCTTACATATTTAACTATTGGTCTTGAAGAATTTGTGTATCAGTTTTTCAGTGTCACTGTTATGTTTACCAGATGGGGCAGCTTCTAGAATGGTCTGTGCATTGAAATGCCAAGAGCCTTTAGGTTAATAGTCCATGTCACACCTTCAGCTGCTCAGAAGATTGTCTCCTTTCCTCCACATGCAGATCACCCTTTAGGATATCTATAGAAATCTTTATTTCTCTGATTGGCTGTTATAAAATGGTCCTAGATTTGCTATCTGCATGCCTCCAATTTGAAATTCTGAAAGTGTTGGCAGAAAGTCAAACTTCTCTCAATCTTCACCCTTCAGGAAGAAAGAGGTAATCATTGCTAGAAAATTGAAGAATGGTTAATAGTAGAGACAGAATTAAGTTTTCCACATGGACTGACCAAGTCCACAGACTACTTGAGGGTTCTGATTTTCAGACATGTGCTGTATAAAAGATTTTGGTTTGTTTTTCTCCTTTATCTATTTTAGCAAAAGCAAAGGAGTGGTATCTGTGCTATGATGTAATGACTTTTACAGATAATATTGTAACACTTTTAATGTTGGCTTTGGTATACTTTTCTCACAGAAGAACTCAGATGCAAGACAGGGAGAGGCAGAGAGAGAGGACTGTCCCACAGAAAATAATTCTGTGTCTTCCATCTTCTTCATCACGCAAAGGTAAGGTATAGTTTAATAATGAAAATGGAGACTTGAGGTACAAGCACACAGGTATGTGTACTAATTTAATTTTTATTGAAGTATAAAGACAAAAAAGATAAACAGCTACAAATAGTAGCAAGCCCGTGAGCCTTGATCATATCTAATAAGCAAATAATCTATAAACAAGCACTTTGTCATCAAACTATAGATGATGTTGGAAAAGTCACTGTAGCTCCTGAATACTATAATATACAGCATGATCTTATCTCCCAGTGTATTTTCAAAGATAAAAGAATAATATTGCAATTCAAATGCTTTAGCAAAATGAAAATACATATGGTACAGAATCATTGTTAGACAGCTATTCTGCACAGAAAATATTTAGAAACAAATTGATGTGAAAATGTAAAACAGAAAAGCTTTATCTAAATAACCTGAATCACATCTCTTCTAATTCTTGTTCAGGTTCAGTATTTTTCAGGAGTCCAACTTCTGATGAGCAGAGCTTCTTAAGTCTAAATTTCATCAACCTGAAGAGAAATAAAATATCTCTGTTAGCTAACATAACATAGGATAGCTAACATAAAAGTTTTGAGTGACATTAATCTATAAGGCAAAAGCTGTACATCATTTTTATAAATAGGGCAATCAACACTGAAAATCATTTCTACTTAGCTTTGTAAACATCAGAAAATGTATATTAAAGTATGAAATAACTAAACAAATAAAATGTGACTTTGAGTTGTATATTCGTTGTCAGAAGAGAACTTTGATCATTTCTAGAACAAATAAGAGAATCTCTGTACTGTGGCAAGCCTATACAAACTGAGATCAGTGTAGTTTTTCAACCAAAACTATATCTGTGTTTTGCTCGAAGATCTCCTCTCATATAAAGGAAGAATAGGAACAATCTCCTTCCCTAAGGCTAGAAGGCCATGAAAAGTCTGATAGGGCTTAATTTCAGTCTCAGCATATCCCTTCCAGAAACATCCTTTTATCGGGGCACAGCTGTTCAACTACACATGATGTCTCTGTCCATGATGAATTAAGAAGTACGGCAAGGTACCCAATATACTGTGGGTTGTCTTCATAGTTTATGAGAACCTAAACTGTACATTTGGGGGAGAGCCATTATAATTTTGGAAACTGGAATGTTAAAAATTTCTTAGTGACAAAAGCTCAGCAGGCTCCCTACTTCTCTGATATGGCAAAAAGTGTTAATAAGAACTATGTATCACTTATTCTCTGCATATTATCACAAAGATAGTGTACTGTGACTACACTGATAAAGTAAAACTGAATATACAAATTTGATAAATCAAATCATTAGATAATCTTTAATGAAAGACATCACCAACATACATTCTCATCTTTAGTTTTTGCCTTCCTTCTTTTGATAAATTTGTGCCTTATCATTATCTAGAAAAGGCACCTGATTGAAAGGTAGTACTGATTCTTCATGACATTTTTAAAGCTATTGCTTACATTTATATCAATAAAGATCAGAAAAATTGAACTCTTGGTCTTATCTTTCCAAGATTAACAAGCAAATGAAACTGTAAAGCATATAAAACATAAGTTTCAAACAAAGGAAGCCTATACTAAAATAACTTTGAAATAATGACCTATTAAAACCACTAGGAAATGTTTATTGAGTGGCTATTATGTGTTTAGCACTATACTAACAGATGTAGAATGAGCAAAGTGGTCTGTTTTGCAAAAATTCACAGTCTATCTAGTAGATAACTCTAACATACATAGACTAGTAATCAAAAAATCACACAATGATCACAAGAATTAAAATATCTGGTGGATCTTAGGTGATATTAATTGTGTGGAGGAAAACTGAGCAAGGACTAGTGGAATCATAAGAGCTTTCACAGAAGAGATGTGCATTTAGGTGCATAGGCCAAGTAAAGGAACTGACTGATCAAAAAGACATTAATTACACATAGTAGAGACAGTGAAAGGCCAAAAATTGAATTGAAGTTTTTGGTTTTTAGGAAATTGTAAGTGATAAAAACCTTGTTAGGAAATCTGAGGGTTATTGAAACAGAAATAGGTCATAGTTGACTTTTGGTTTGTTAAGAGAGCTGACATGAAGAGTTTTTCCTTGAATTCTGACACTGTTCCTGGACACTTCCCAGACTTTAAAAAGATGACACTCAGATGTCTGCCTAGAACGTCAAGGAACAATGACAAGTTTCAGTCAGTTGCAGAGCCAGCCTAACGATCTCATGTGCATGCTTTTGCAGAATGGAATAGGACTAAATAGAAGTCAAATAATGAGAAGACACAAATTTCTTAGCACACAAAACAATTTAGACTTCTAAAAGAGGCTACTACGGCTTAAAGTGGGCTGATCCAAAACCTAGTTGAGACATCTGAGAGCTAGACAAAGCAATGGTTTCTGAAGACAGAGCTCCAGTGCCAAAGTAACTTCAACAATGAAGCATAAAGAAGCACAGAGCAGGAGACAGGGATTGGGCCCCATGTTTACAGAGAATGGAAACTAAGCAACAGCAGGGATTGAAACCCCGTAGGCACAGAAAATGTCCTACATTCTTGAAATCTAGAGAATCTGCTGAATATATAGTGTCTGATATGGTATCCACTATCCACATGTGAATATCAAAATTAGCTGCAACTTAGTTCTCAATTGTGGGGAGTCTTCCCTGAGCTCCAGTAGTCCTTTATTGTTTTTCCATTTCTTGTACTATGCTTTAATTGTCCATTTCTATAATTTAGTTCTTACTATAGGACTAAAACTTCCTCATGGATAAGATCTATACATCATTTTTATCCCAAAGAAGAAGTAGGAGGAGGAGAAAAACAAGAAGACAATAATATTTGTTGAGCTCTTATTATATCTGAAGCAACTGAACACATTATCTCATTTAAGAACTATCAATATTCACATTTTGCAACAGTGACACTGTGGCTTGATATAATTAAGTATTTGTCCAAAAATTATACATCCAAGAGCAGCAGACCTGGGCAGGCATGCATATATATATATATATATATATATATATATATATATAGAGAGAGAGAGAGAGAGAGAGAGAGAGCCCTATTATATTGCTCCTTACTATCTTATGGAATATTGTGTAAACATGCTTATAAAAAAATTATTCAATGTTTAGAAATGTTAGACTCAGTGAAGTTAAGCAGTCAACCAGAGTTAATAAACTCATTAAAGTTACTGAAAAAAAGTCTCAAAGTTTAAAAAATCCTGTATTAGACATATTTACACATGAGTAAATAAGGAATTATCCCAAGCAGAGGCAGACCATCCAGGAGATGAATCAGCTTATGCAAAGATGTGAAGGTTAAAAAGATTGGACTGAATGGAGATACCCTCCATTCCCTCTGATGTCTCCCGAGCAGAGACATCATTCAACTATTCCCAGTTCAATTCAGCATTTATTCATTTTATTGGCAATTTCTGTGTTTGCATATACAGTGGACTCTCAAGTTATGACCAACCTTGAACACGGAGAACTTGGATTATGACCTCAACTTTATATTTAACTTATGACAAAAGTCTCTAGTTGCAACCCAAAGTCAGTCAATTTGCTGTTGCAAACAAAGATTCATGATGCCAGAAAGGTGTATGTAGTTTGAGTCCAGATTCCTGATGTTCTTGTAGAAGAGGACTGTCCTTCCAAATAATGACCACTTTTTGTGTCATCTTCCCTTCATATAAGCCAAAAACATCAATTTGAATAGTGATTACAGTACAAAATTATTTCTGATAAACTAGGCACATTCTATTACATTTTGGTGAATATAATAGGAAAGTTATTGGTGTTTCTAGTAAATTAAACACATGATACAACCTCTTTATTATGAAAAAGTTAATTAATGGATGCTTTGGAGGGCCCAAATGCATTACTGACATTTCTATTGTTTATAATGAGAAAAGTGGTCTTGAGTTACAACCAACTTTAGTGGCAACAAAGCCTCACAAATGAATTGAGTTTGTAAGTCAAAGGTCCACTTAACTTTCTCTTATACTACCCTGTCTTATGGGAGGGTTAGAAATGAAATTTTCCTTTAAATTTTAAATTCAGCCTTTTTGACTCATGATGATGCCAATGAATAGAACTTCCATGGACATATGTCTTTAACTTACCAAACGACAAATGCATAATTCACTCCAATGATGATATAGGCCATGGCATAATGCCAACAAAAACACATGGAGATAAAAACTCTGTTTTCATGATCCGTCAGATCCCATGTGGGGCTTCCTTTTGGGGGAAAGAGGACAAAACCAATCTGTAATTCAGAACAAGAACGTAATCAACCACATTTCCAAAGACAGTATATTTTACAATTATTGGTAACGAACGTAACTCTCATTGTGTAAAATGTCATAGACAAAACACTAGGTTTTACTGCCTATTTTAGCAATATACAATAACTAGCAGCTCATGCTTTTTTAAAAAAAATTAAAAACATTAATGGTCAATTTTCAAAATTTGAGTACAGAACATCTCTGAGTATAGGTGAGCTTTCAAAACGTCCTACATGGGGCTGGGGATTTAGCTCAGTGGCATAAGCGCCTGCCCAAGCAGGCAGTCGTGAGTTCAATTCCTGGTACTGATAAAAACAAAAAAGAACAAAAAAAAAAGTCCTACGCTTCTATGCTATACTGTTTCAGTCTACTATTTCAGAGAGTAGAAATAGATTCTAAGATAAATTCAGGCCTGCAGGTAACATTATATTCAGGACAGGGATGGTGGTAAACAGGTATTATTTGAGCTGCTTTGGAGTCTCAGATAGGAGGATCACATGAGTCTGGGGAGTACAAGTCCAGCCTGTGTCAAAAAAAAGTTTTAATTTTAAAAACCAAAAATATATTCAGTGGTGAAGGTAAAAGATTTATTAAGATCAAATGCAACACAAAATATTTGCTTTCCCTACTTTTATTTAACATTATACTGGAAATTCTAGCAAAAGAAATAGGCAAGAAAAATGAACAAATGATAGTCATATTGACTAAAAAGAGATAAACCGGTCTGTATGTATAAATGATATGCTCTTCTATACAGAAATTCATAAATAATCCACCCAAAAAACTATTAAAGCTAATTAATATTAACACTTTATAAACAAGTGAACATACAAAAATGAATTTTATTTTTATACACAAGCAATTAACAACTGAAAAATAAAACTTTGAAAACAGTTTCACTTGTAATAATCAAATAATGAAATATTCAATAATAAAATGAATCAAGAAGCCTTAAGACTGAGGCTGTAATTCAGTGGTAGAGCGCTTGGTTAGCAAGGGCAAGTCTCTGGGATCAATCCCAGTGCAAAAAAAAAAGCAAGTTCAAGATTTTTACATCAAAAGCTGTACAACTTTGTTGAAAGAAATAGACATGAAATCCATCTCATACATGGACTACACAGTTCACCAAAAGCAATATATACATTTTTTGTGATTCTTCTCAAAATTCCAATGGGCTTTTATAAAGAAATAAAAACATGTTTGTGATGGTGCATACAAATAATCCCAGCACTCTGGGATGTTGAGGCAAAAATATTGCAAATTAGAGCACAGTTGAGACAATTTAAAGACATAGCAAGACATGTCTTGAAAAGTTAAAGTTTTTAAAGTAGAAAAAGATAATCTAGTGATACCAAGGCTAGAATCTCCAGTACCAAAGAATCTAATCCTAAAATTCATGTGGAATTGCAAAAAGTCCAGAATATCAAAATACCTTTAAAAAACAGAAATATATTTGCAGGACTCACTTCTTTATTTTAAAAAACTGTGATATTGACATAATCTAGACATATCTATCAACTAAAGAGTATTTGAAATCCAGAAATAAACCCATGTATGTATGATAATCCAGCCTGATAGGCTTCGGTTACTGAACAAAGGAGATAACAGTGTGTTTAGCAAATGATGCTGGGCAATGGACTACTCATATGCAAAGCAATGATTTTGGACCCTACTATGTTTTAAGTCTGGATGTTCCCAAAAGCCTGTGTTCACAGGTAGGGGTTTCAAAAATTAATTACACCATTTGTTGCTGTACTTATCCATGGAGATCAGACCTCTAAGTTCAGAGCCAAGTATACTGTGAAAGGTGGATCTTGGTTGAAGGTGAGTCTCTGAAGGTGTGACCTAGAATGATATGTCTCTCTCCCTAGATCCCCCATTCTCTTTCTGCTTCCTGACTCCCATGATGTGAGCAACTTTGTTCTGCCCAACCCCCTCTACCATGCAGTTTGTGCATTGGAGTCAGCAGACCATGAATAGAAAACATGAACCAAATAAGCGTCTCTCCCTTAACTTGTGGATATTCAGTATTATGTCCCAGCAACAAAGAAATTGACTGATCAAACTCCTTCCTAATATTGTAGATATGATTAAATTAAGAGGGATCAAAAATCTAAATAAAAGATCTAAAACTACAAAATTCATAAGAAAACATAAAAATGCTTAATGACCTAGGATTTTCTGGTGGTTTTTTTATCTGTGACACAAAAAGCACAATCAGTCAATAAAAAACCAGATAATTTGAATTTTATGAGAATTTAAAACTTTTGTGGACAAAAGGACACTGTGTTCAAAGGACACTATCCAAAAAAGGAAATGATAATTCACAATCAGGAAAAATATATTTCCAAATCTCTGTTGTATAAAGAATTCTTAAAACTCAACCAAAAAATAATAATAATGGGCAAAAGACATGTAAAATCTCTTCCAAGAAAAAAATATAAAGATGGTGAATAACCACTTATTATATAATTATATATAATATTATATATAATAACCTTATTTAATATTATATATATAATATTGAATTATATACAACCTCATATAATATTGTATATAGTAATTATATATAATATATATATATAATAACCTCATTTGTTATTGGAAAAATTCAAAACAAAAGCACAATGAGATACCACAATAAGAATAGAAATAATAATAAATCATAGCATTATCAGTGAGGACCTTAAGAAATTGTAATATTTTACATTGCTGAAGGAAATAAATCTGCCTCAGTAACATAGAAGTTGGCATTTCCTCAGGCAGTTAAACAAAAAGTTCCCATATAAACTGGAAATTCCATTCCTAGCTATGTACACAAAAATATTCACATATATACTTGTATACAAATGTTCCTAGCAGCACTACTCGTTACAGCCAAAAGATAAAAACAACCCAATCAATGATCAACTAATGACAAGTAAGCAAAATGTAGTATAGCCATACAATGGCATATTATTCAATTATATAAAGAAATTAAATATTAATACATACTTCAATATGGAAGACACTGGAAGACTTATACTAATAGAATGAAGCCAGAAATAGGTTGCATATCGTATAATACTCTTTTACATAAAATATTCAGAATAAATAACTATCCATAGACACCAAAGACAAGTAAGTGCTTAGCAAAGCCTGAGAAGAGAGGGGAAGGGAGTGGGATCACTTAAAGGGTACAGAATTTCCTCTAAGGGAGATATAAGTGTTTTGAAATTGACTACAGGGGATGAGTACACTATATTATGGTTATACTGAACTATATACTTTAAAATAGTCGACTCTAAGTTATCTAAATCTTATCTCAATAAAAACTAAATAAATGATTATAATAGAGGTAAATAGAAAGATATAGATGATAGATAGATGAAATGAAATGCAAAATTAAAATAAAATATAAAACCCAAATAATATCATGGATAATTGTACAAATATCTAACATAGAAATTTCCTTACAATATCACTTCAGATATATACTATCATGCTCATTTTATATCTTTTCTTCATTACCAGGTGAAAAAATTGGGTTGTTTAGCAACTTTCTCAGAATCACACATTTAAATTAATTCAAACAAAATAAAGGAATTTACATTATGGTACTGAGCGAAACTTTGATTCCATTTCTTCTTGATATTTCAAGTAATATGAATAAATCAAGAGAAAGAGATTTGTGCTTTAATTGCAAGTTTCCATTTATGGATTGATTCCCTTTAGTTGCAAAAAGAACTGCCATTTTATCATCACTTTTCCCTCAATGATGCACATAAATTTCACAATAATCAGTCAGCAAAACAACCCCAAGAAGGATATTTCATTATCCCCATATTAGAGAGGAAAGAGTTGGAAATCAGAGACTCCAGTGATTTTCTAACATTCAGTATAAATGAAGGACTAAGACAGGATTCCAAACAAGGAAAGTCTGACTCCAACAACTCTGCTGTTTCTTCTACTAACATTCTAATTCCCATATACCATTTTCATATGAAGGCTAGAGGCCTGAATAGCAAGTTCAGTCTGAGTCATCTCAGGAATTTTGACATGATTTGAGCAACTGGAACTAAGAAAATAATTGGTTCCATGAACACATTATCGCATTACTCTTAAAATAGTAGATAGATAACAGGTAGGCATAGTGGCACGCACCTAAGTTCTAAGTATTCAGAAATCTGAGGCAGGAAGATGATTTGAGCAGAGGAGTTTAAGCTCAGCTTGAACAACATGCTTTGAGACACTCTCTCAAAACATTAAACAATAAACAACAAGAAGATCTTTTTTAAATTGCATAATATAACTTTGTTATTGAGAAAACATCTTTAAATGTAATGTGATTTAGTAAAAAATCATTTATTGTAGGTGGAAAGATTTCCTCTGTGCATATCACAATCATTTAAACATAAATCATTAAAAGGAATCTCTCTAAGCATTTGACTTAAACAATTCACTTTTCCACACATATGGTTCCAAGAATTCAGGTGGATATTTTTATCTAATCTGTCTACACATAGTTTATGCATTATAGTTTAATTAGAGTGCTGACACATAACTGCAATCCCAGCACTTGAAAGACTGAGGCAGGAGGATTGCCATCAGCTTGAGGCCAGCCTGGGCGACACAGTGAGTTGAAGACTAGTCCGAACTACATGGCAAGACTTGTCTTGAAAAACCCAAAAAAATATGTGACAATATGACTTTTACTAAGTTTCCAAACATTTTTGTTCTAGAAAAGTCTAAAAGTATGACAGTTACTATAGATAAACTTTCATTTCCTATATTTGTGCATTTGTGTTGCTACTAGCTGTTCATTTTTCTTTAAGGAGCCAGCCATTATTTGGTTAGACATCAGGTAAAATATAAAAAAACTATTATAAACCTATTGGTAAGGGAAAAAATCCAAATTCCAATGCATTTATGCCCAAAGACTTTCACTTTATAACTCTTCCTTAGAAAAGCATTTAAATAATTATGAAAACATTTCTCTCTA